TTATAATTACTTTATTATGAAATATTAAGTAAATAAAATAGTGAAAAATTATAAAATTCTTGTCTTGTCTGCACCTACGGCACACCAGGCAACATCTCGCGGCACACTAGTGTGCCACGGAACAGCGGTTGAAAAACGCTGCTCTACTAGAAGCCCAATGCACTCGGGGAGGTCCCTCAGCCAGGCCGGCACACTCTGGCAGCACCTTTGGCCAAGTAGCCTGGGCCTCCCTATGTGGGGCAGGATGATACTGGTCAGTGATGGGGGTTGGGGGTACCTCAACCAATCGCATGCCTCCCACCTTGGCTGGCCTGGCCCAGTGCGTGTCATAGCGTGGTTGTCCAGAAGGTCATTCTGCTGTTCATCCATTTGGTTGATTTGCTTATTACCCTTTTATTATTATAGAAGATTCCATTTTAAAAATTAAGAAACTAAAGCTTAGAAAGTTCACATATCTAATATATCAATAAGACCAGAAATTCATGCCCAAGTTTCACCAACCACAAAATCCATATTCTTTCTACTATGCACCATTAAGTGAAATATTTTACTTTATATACATTTAGTGTAAAATTAGATATTGAACTAGGTAATAATTACTCAGAAATAAAATTATTTACATGACTGCACTGGTCAGTAAATGATACTGTAAAAAATAATCATGCTGCCCAGCCAATGTGAATCAGTGGTTGAGAGTTGACCTATGAACCAGGAGGTCAGGTTTCAATTCCCAATCAGGGCCCAGGTTGCAGGTTTCATCCCATGTCGGGTGTGCAGGAGGCAATCTAATCAATGATTCTCTCTCATCATTGATTTTTCATCTCTCTCCCTCTCTAAAATTAATAAAAATGTATTTTTAAAAGATAATCATGCATCTTAATATTTCATAGTATACTATTCACATTAGTTTTTGCTAAGAGAATTCATTTGCTCAACAAAACAATTCAGAATAATGCCAGATACTATATTTGATACTGAAATTAATTATACTTGTCTAAATACTCAGTCGAAGTTGAAAATTTGGAGGAAGTCTCCAATTATTTGATCACATTATCTTTAAAGCAATAAACCTGATAATACACTAATATAAATGGATAGCATTTCACCTATCAATTATATGCAACTACAGCTATAATATTATAAAGAATGAAATTAAAGCAACAAGCAGATTGTCAAATTACAGCGGGGAGGGGAGGAGGATCTGGGGGAGATAATAGATCAACCGAAGGACTTGTATACATGCATATAAGTACAACCAATGGACATAAAACTATGGGGAGGGAGGGGATATGGGGGAGGGAGGGAGGGGGGCAAAAAAATCATTAAAATATGTAAAAAAAAAAAATTAATTAAAAAAAGAAAAAAAAAAGAATGAAATTAAAATAAGTAAAAATAAAAGTTCTAATATTTGTTCCACACCCCAAAAGATGTTTTCACATATCTCGAGATGTGCACTCTACTTTGGGTACCACTGTCTTAGAAAAGTTTCACATTTCAGTTCAGGAAACAGTTATCTACTCACTTCATGAACTTGATGATATCTATTTTCTGAAAGATCAGAAATGTAAAATTGAGACATATAGAGGACCTCTCTGCACAAAGTAGACCTTCAATATATATTAGTTATAATTAAAAATGATTACTGTACCTTAACATAAAATAAAGTATGTCACATTCACATTTATTATTTACAAAATTGGACTCAGAAACAATAGGTAGTACTTTTGTTTAAACAAAATGACAACCTTCTGAAATTACATGTAAAAATGGCAGGGAAGCTGTAGCCAGTTTGGCTCAGTGGATAGTGTTGGCCTGTGGACTGAAGAGTCAGGGGCACATGCTAGGTTGCAAGCTCAATCCCCCAGAAGGGGGCCTGCAGGAGGCAACAGATCAATGATTTTCTTTCATCATTGATACTTCTCTCTCTCCCTCTTCTCTCCTTTCTGAAATTAATAAAAATATATTTTAAAAATAATATTAATAAAAATGGTAGGGAAAACATTTACCAAAAATATCCAAACCTTGTACTCTTCACCTTGAGTTGAATTCTGTAAAATGTATAGGAAAAAAAAAATCAGAAATTATTTGAAAGTGAGAAAGGTTTTTTTTTTTGTTTGTTTGTTTTTTTTATCATTTGGCAAATTTTCTAGAGATTACCTGACTTTTAATACTTAACAGTTGGGAAAGGAAACAGGAAGAATAATTATAAAGAGAGAATACTTTTGGTTTATATATGTTTTCTGGCTTTGTGATGAAGATAAACATTTCTGAAAAAAATGAGAAATGGCATTAATTGTACAGACTTTTTTCTGGACCAGCATATAGGATAAAATCAATTTAATATTAGTATTTGAATTGTTTTAGCCATAGTGGGGACATGGTATCCAAATGACCCTATACATAGACCTCTTGCCAGTTATACCACTGACTTTCGTAGCCTTTAATCTTTAGAACCTGGACTAATAAAACTTTTGTTCTACCTATTTATGCCTATTGAATAATCTAGTTTTATATTTGGTCTCATGTCCTTCCTAGAATGCAACTCCTACAAAGTCAGAAAAAAATTTCTTTGAGCCCTCTGTTTTATCCCTCATGCCTAGAACACCTGGCACAGTTAAACACTCAATATTGATTTAAAGAATGAAGCCTCCCATCCTTCTGCACACTGAAAGGCCTCTGAAAGCAGAAGTAAGGGGTGAGCTTATGTGTAGATTATTTCATTTCTCTGCCAACTTCAAGTTCTCCTTTAGAAGTCAAGAGCAGCCCAGATGCTACAAGACTGATCCCTGAGGACAACCATTGGGTCAAGATAGAGTCTCTGTTTTTCTCTAGGTTTATGAATGGAATTACTAAAAAGTAAAAACAAGAATAAAGCCAAAGTTGGTTATTGAAATACTAAGTAGACTAATGGCTGTAAAGTCCAACTAAGAAAAGAGAAATAACATTAGGATGAAAAGGAAATTTAAAACTACAAAGAGGTACTGAGAATTTTAGAATACTGATGCAAGTTTACATAATTTTTTAATCTAGATAAGGAGTTGGTAAGCTAAAAATTTCTAATTTCCAAAATCAACTCAAGAAAAAATAGAAAAATATGCCCTAACCAGTTTGATTCAGTGTATAGAGCACATGTGTCAAACACAAGGCCCGAGGGCCAAATCCGTCCCGCCAGGCCTTGCAATGTGGCCCGCACCACGCTGTCATCACTGCACTCTGCTGCGTTTCCATCACAATGACAGTTTATGACTGTTCAGTAAACCATTCGGCCCGCGATTTAGGCTGGATTTTAGATTTTGGCCCCTTCTCTGATTGAGTTCGACACCCCTAGGATAGAGTGTCAGCCTGTGGACAGAAGGTTCGATTCTGGTCAAGGGCATGTACCTTGATTTCGGGCACATCCTCAGTAGGGGATATGCAGGAGGTGGCTAATCAATGTTTCTCTCTCATCGATGTTTCTAACTCTCTATCCCTCTCCCTTCCTCTCTTTAAAAAAATTGATAAAACATATTTAAAAAATAAATAGAAAAATATGAAATCAACAACCTTACTACAAATACAAATATTTTCTAAAGATCAACCACTAAATAAGCTATCAAGCTTAATTTATTGGTCAGTTGTGTACAACTCACAAAGATCAGATGATTCCTATGTGATTCTCATTATTCTCTTGCATGGAAGGGGGGGAGATGGAAAACTTCCAATTAATTTTTCAAAAATAACACATAACCCAAATTCCAAGAGAGAATAAAGAAAATATTTTTAATTCTCATGAACATGGACATAAAACCTTGAATAAAACATTCACAGCACAGCAAAGAGATTTATTAATGTGTGATGGAAAACTATTACACCTTTCTCTTAAGTTTTTTCATCTGTTCTATTTTTTCCACTTCATTTTCCTTATTTCCACTTCATTTTCCTACTAGAATGTAATGTTTGGATTTTACTTACAGGATTATTTTATTCACTGAATCTACTGCCTAGCATATTGTAGGCTCTAATTATTTATTGAATGAACAATCTTATGAAACAGGTAGTATTACTGTTTGCTAGATTTTACCTTATGAAGAGGCTGAAGCAGTGAGAATCTGCCTATGGTCACTCAGTACAAGGAAGAGCTGGGATTTGCAAGCAGCTAAGAAACTGCCGGATGCCTCTAATTTATGTGGTGAATTACATAGGTACCATTTAGGATGCTTCCCATATTAGACAGCTCCTTTGCAGCGGGGGATACTTCATCTTTGTCCCCTGACTGGCAATAGCTAGCCCACGCTACACACTCAATAATTATTGGCAAAATAAGTGAATGCATAAATATATTAATGACCCAATTATTTTTACGTGTATGCGGCATGCCTCAATTGGCTAGATTAAGCTTTTAGAATTTTAAAATTGATTTTAATATAAAGATCCTGTCTTTAAAATGTAGTGATGCAAAACCAAAACAAAACACTTTATTTGAATTGAGAAAAACATGACTTCTGACAAGAAGTTTAAAAGGCAAATGTACCCTATTCTACTATTTTCTCCAAAGTGGTTTTTTTTAAGCTTTATTCGGCGATAGCATATATCAAAAAAAAAAAAAAAATCTCCAGAAACAGCTATTCGACTCATTTCATGATATGCACATGCACAATATGAATGATCTCTGATCAAAAACCGCAAACGACTGTGCCATGTCCACAGACAGGGAGACTTGTGAAACAGTCAATCATGCGTGGTAAAACAGGCATCTTCACTTACAAGCACTGACGCTAAGAACACCCCCGGAGCAATAGCTGGCCCAGGAGTCACTCGCCGGTAGCTTTCTCAAACAAGTCTGACGACCATCGTAAAGACACGAGTCGCTCGGCACAAAATCCCAGCGGTCACGGGCTTACAGTGAGGAGCGAGCATCCCTGGGAAGGAGGGGTGGACGTGTGATTTTGAAAACGACACCCCCGCCAGCCAGGCCGCCTCAACATCTAGAGTCCAAGTCCCTCCTCCTCAGAACGCCTGACCGTCTCTACTCTAGGGGGAAGCGACCATCTCTCAGGTAGACACTAGTGCGCACAAAGGAAAAACTGGGCATCCAGCGTGGAGGCCGCGGACTCAAACGAAAACACGACACGGATCCCTGGCGCCCAATCGCCCCTTCCCGGAGGGTGGCAATCGCATTTCTCGCGAGATTTCTCGTCTTGCCGGGATCGCGAAGATGAAACCTCGCGGCTTTCCAGAGAAAGGGTCCGAAAGGACAGCTCCTGCTAACCCTACTTTACGGAACCTTCGAGAGCCTAGATCCCGCAGCCCCTCATCCAGTACCTTCCATCTTTTTCTCCCCCACCCCCTCCCATCTCTCAGTTCTAAGGACTTCCGGAGCCAGACCGGAACCGGAAGTTCCTGGAAGCGAGGGGGTGGGGCCGAAAGTCAAAAAAAGCGCGGTGAAAACTGGACAGCCAAGCTGGCCGGGTGGTGGTGGTGGTGACTCCCTGGCAGTCCCGTGGCGGTTCCGGATGGACTCCACCGCCTGCTTGAAGTCCTTGCTCCTGACCATCAGCCAGTACAAAGCCGTTAAGTCGGAGGCGAACGCGACCCAGCTTTTGCGGCACTTGGAGGTGAGGGGCTCCGGCGGCGCGGGCGAGAGGGGCTTCCCTGGGGGAGCAGCATTCAGTGCGCGGCTTAGCCAGGGTGTGGCGGCCCCGATTTAGGAAAGAAAGGGCTGCTTCTCCTTTCCTCAGTTGTCTTTGTGTGTTGGTGAAGAAGGCGAGCGAGGGTCAGCCTGAATTCCACCCTCTGCCGCCCCGCCCCCTCGGCCCTCCTGGTTCTTTCAGTTGCCTCGGGGGCGGGGGATGGCAGGGCGGGGGGGAGGGGGGGAGTGGCGACTCTAAGAACACCCCCGGAGCAATATCTGGCCCGGGAGTCACACGCCTTTAGCTTTCTCTAATAAGTTTGTCGACCATCGTAAAGACAGGAGCCTAGGAAGAGGGAGGGTGGCACCAAAGGTTGGGGAATTTAGGCTGTGTTTGGGGTTAGTGGAGAAGAGAGCTCAAACCTGTACCTTTCCTTTTTATTAAAAAATAATGATAATTAAATGTTTATTGTTGAACGTATTCCGTATGTTCCCCTTTTCCTTTTGATTTTTTCCCTGATAACAGTCCTGACAATATACAGTAAGTCTCGGGAGTGAAAGTGATGGGGAGTGATGATTAAAACTTTGTTTTATATCCCTTGTCCCTTAAGCAGTTTACAATCTAAACCTGTTCCTTACTGCTTTTATTTTAATTCGAACTTGAAGTATATTATGTCAACTTTTATAAGCAATTTCACTTACTAATAATCATAATCTTTTTTCCCCCCAAAATATATAGCTCACAATTTTTCAATCCTAAAATATTGAATTGCTTTCATTTTTTCTATTAGTTCCCACTGATTTGTGTCTAGAGTACTTATTCTATATTGTAACTTTTTTGCTTTTAATCTGCTGTCATTTATTATGCAATTAATGGGATTCCAAATAACAATGACCTCAGTTTTAATAAAAAAATAGTTAAGCTCGCCGAAACCAGTTTGGTTCAATGGGTAGAGCATCAACTTGGGGACTGAAGGGTCCAGGGTTAGATTCCGGTCAAGGGCATGTACCTTGGTTGCAGGCATATCCCCAGTAAGGGGTGTGTAAGAGGCAGCTGATCGATGACTCTCTCTCATCGATGTTTCTAACTCTCTATCTTCCTTCCTCTCTGTACAAAATCAATAAAATATATTTTAAAAAAATAGTTAAGCTCAATCAAATCTTATTTTAATTCTCTCTGTAACTACGTCTATTAACATAGACTTGAACATAATTTTAAAATAGATTCTATTTGTTATATTAACCCTGTGATAAAAGCTTAAATTACCAAAGATTAGCAAACTCTGACAAAGAGAAGGCTATTGTTAATGGTACAGCAATGTCAGTTTTTGGTGCAACTGGAGTGCGTTAAATGTGTCTTCATTCTCAAGTTTCATTGGTGCTCTCCTTTCTACTTCAGGTGCCCATCTCTTAAGTGCTTTTTTTTTTTTTTTTTTTTTTCCATTCATTACCTCAACAAATTTCTGCAAACCTAATGATGATGAAGGTATTAGCTGTTAAACGCTAATACTTTACTTCTCAATTAGGATAGAACAGTGTGCTAGTAGATCCACAAAGCCACAAAATAAGCAGGGTTGTTAGTTTAATTTTAAGATAAAGGAATTAACTATTTTAAATATTCATTTGAAACATTACCTGTCTTTGAGAATAAACAGGTATGTTGTGAATCTAAGCACCTCATTATGGTGAATTGAAGGAGACTTTAAAGAAATATGCGGCTTAAGGACTTGCTACTAGACTTTCAAGAGATTTACTGAAAAACCTTCTACCATTTAGAGGAATAACATACATTTAGTGTATAATGTGCAATAATCTTAACTAAAGAAAGAGCTTCATAATTTTTAAAATGTTTTTATTTCAGAGAGGGAGGAAGAGGGAGAAAGTTAGAAACATGAATGATGAGAGAGAATCATTGATTGGCCACCTCCTGCACTCACCCACCTGGGATGAGTCCACAACCCTGGCAGATGCCCTGATCAGGAATTGAACCTCAACCTTCTGGCTGAGCCAGAGTTTTGTGAGTGTGTTTTTTTAATATATGTGTATGCTCAAGTAGCTACTATCTGTATCATAATATAGAATATTTTCTAATAGTTTTTTTTTTCAATTGTTCCCTCTCATACAATTCAGATAACTAAACTTACATAATATATACCTTTATATCTGACTTCTTTCACTCAGTATAATCTGAAATTCATTAATGTTGCACATTTTACTCTTTTTTATTACTTTGTAAAATTCCATTTTATAAATTCACCAGTTTATTTATATTTTGTTGATTGGCATTTAGGTTGTTTCCATTTCTGGATAGAATTTGAAAAATGTGTTGTAAGTACTTTCATACCTTTTTTTGTTGATATGTGCATTCATATATTTTACATACCTAAAAATGGAATTGTTGATTTCACAGCTATGTTCAATTTCAGGTGAAAATTGCCATCCTTCATCCAGAACAATCCTTAGTGTTTTCAGATTTCTAAATTTTGACCATTTTTGTGATATTAATGGTGACTATCTTTGTGCAGATCTCATGAGAGCAGTATCTGAAGATACAAAGAGAGATTGTTATTCTGTGAAAGATTGATGATTCATTCTCCTGTTTTGCTGCACTTCTGCTAATTTTTCTTTGTAGTCCCAGGCAGACCCTGAGATTTGAATTATTTTTTTATTGAAAGGGCTGAACTGGTCTCAATCTTGGTGGCTTCTCATAACACCAGTCTTATGTAGTGATTATGAGCATTGATTCAGGGACAATGAATCCCAATTAAGCTACTGTAGTTTGTACTTCCGTTTACTCATCTATATATATATAAAAGCCTAAGCAACCATCACAACCAAATGGACGACTGAACAAGTTGTGTGAGGTGACTAGGCCACAGGGGGATTAGTGAGGGGTGACCAAAAGACTGGGCAGCAGGCTGCGTGAGGCATCCAGGTCCCTGGGGAGGCAGTTGGCAGTGACCCGGCCAGCAGGGGTCACAGTTAGGGATGACCAGGCCAGTGGGGGAGGGAGGGAGTTGGGGGCAACCAGGCTGGGGGGCATTAAGGGTTGACCAGGCCAGCAGGGGGGGAGCAGGTAGGGGCAGAGGGGGGGGCAACTGGGAGCTATCAGGCAGGTGAGCAGTTAGGAGCCAGTGGTACCAGCAGTCAGACATCCCCCAAGAGGGTTCCCGATTGGAGAGGGTGCAGGCTGGGCTGAGGGGACCCCCTGCCCCCGTTCACAAATTTTGTGCACCAGGCTTCTAGTCTAATAATTACCTGTAAATTGCAAATTGTTATGAATATGAAAAGAATTGACATATACAATGTACCTAGGCCAGAGCAAGTGCCAAAGTATTAGTTATCATTAACGTAAATTGTATTTACATAACACATTCTATGTGTATAAAGTAAAATTTATGAAGCAGTTTTTAAAATTTACCTCACAATAAATAATTATTACATGTTAGAGTACATGTGTTATTTAAACTTGGGTCCAGTTTTGAGGGAAATTATATTTAAAGCAGAAAATGTCTTCATCTTCTGGAGGGCTAGCTCTATAAGTAGATAAAAGGACAGTGCTCAGAAGGTTCCTTCTCACAAAATATCTTCTATCAGTATCTCATTTCACCTTTGGACCATTTTTCAGTCTTACAGACTTTTACTTTAATGTTAAAACACATAATTCACAGGAAAAGATATTCTGAAACTCCCTTATCAGCAAAGCTTTAGAAGAAAAACTGACATCTTGGTGAGGGAATAAAGGGACACAGAAAGATTAGAGCGATGCTAAAACAACCTTTTGAGACTTGATCTTTTATTTATTTATTTATTTTTAAAATTTAAATCCAAAATATTACGTATGTCACCTTTTTTTTCCATTGACCTCTTCCCGGCTGCTCCCAACCCCAGCACATGCCCTCACCCCTCTACTGTCTGTGTCCATTGGTTATGCTTATATGCATGCATACAAGTCCTTTGGTTGATCTCTTACCTCCCACCTTCTCACCCTCCCCAGCCTTCCCTCTGAGGTTTGGGGGTCTGTTCGATGCTTCTATGTTTCTGGGTCTATTTTTGTTCATCAGTTTATGTTGTTAATTTTATTCCACAAATCAGTGAGATCATATGATGATTTATCTTTCTCCAACTGGCTTATTTCGCTTAGCCTAATGCTCTCCAGGTGAGACTAGGTCTTCTAAAAATAAAAACATGTTATTAATGAATAACATTCAAAAAACATTTTGAAAATACATGCTTTCTGACAACTATTTTGTGCCTTTAATCCCAGCTTTACCTTTCGAAGGGGTAGGATGAGATGATTTATAGGATTATAAGAGAGGAGTAAAAAGTGGAATATCCAAAGATAAAATTTGTCTAGGCCTGACATGGCTACTTAATTTTTTTTTTTAATTCCTCTTTGGTAATCTCAAATTTCTAGGCTCAGCAATTGTTTTTGGGAGGGAGCAGAAATAATCACATAGTCAATTGCATAGCTAAGCCTTTGAATTAGCAACTTTTCACTTTCCATGGTCTCCCTTAAAGTAGGTGGAATGCAAGTACTAAAATTCATCTATTCAATAAATATATTGGTAGTAGAGTGTTGATTTGTAGTTGATGCCTTCATTGAGTGTTCAGTGTAGTAGGGAGGATAAATATTGCTAAGTCATTAAAAGTTTGCCAGTTTATGAAATAAAAGTATAATGTACTGTAGGATAGAGTAATAGGCAAACCTAATGTAGTTGATAGAAGAGGGTTAGAAAAAGTTCCTGGAGGAAATAAAGCTGAAACCCAAATGATTACATTAGCCAGTGAGAGAAGGAATAGGTACTTCATCAGCAAGAGGTATCAGCATGTATGAATTTTCAAAATTGGGAGTGTGGCAGTGGCATTTTGGAAGAACTAAGTTTTTAATTTCAAATGGGAAAGAGATGAAAACTGCCAGTTATTAAAAAAAATATATTTTTATTGATTTTGAGAGAGAAAGAGAGAGAGAGAAACATCAATCAGGTGCCTTTTGCACAACCTCTCCCAGATTGAACCTGAAATCGGGGTATGTGCCCTGACGGGGAATAGAACCTGAAACCTGAAACCTTTTGGTGCACAGAACAATGTCCAACCAACTGAGCGACACCTGCAAGGGTGCCAGTTTTTAACTAACACATTTTAATTACTATTTTTATAGGTAATTTCTGGACAGAAGCTCACACGATTATTTACGTCAAATCAAATATTACCAAGTGAATGCTTGAGTTGTCTTCTAGAACTACTTGAAGACCCAAACATAAATGCACCACTGATCTCCAGTATCATCAGTTTGTTATCTCAATTAGGTAATTTAATTTCTCTTTTTAAGTTTTTAGAAGATTTTTGAAAGTAATAGTTTTTAAAGGGCAGATTTAGTCATAGAATCGTTAGGAGAATGGTTCACATCCCAAAGATTTCTTCATTGCAGGACCTTATAGAACTATTTGTTCTGTGGATCTCTTGAAATGGGAATATTCTGTGCATCCTTTTTTAAAATTATTGGAACGAATAATCTCAAACATATCAGGTTCAGTGGTCTACAAATAAGAATACACTTTTGGAAATGCTGACCTATTTTTGAATTAAAAAAAAATAAAAAACTACATTCACGTAATGCCATTATTAAATACACTGCTGAGAAAAGTTATAGCTAATGATCAAATAAATCATCTTTTTTTTTTTTTTTAATAAACTACACTGAACCTGGAGCTAAGGGTAAAAAATATAGGTGTCGCTTTTTTGATTTTTTTCTACCTAAAGCTTTAGTTTTAAAATTTTCACTTAATAGTTACCTTTTTTATTGATTTGTGTTTTGAGGCATAGTGGAGATAATTTTGTTTGTGACTATAAAATTAATTCTTGCTATAAAAAAAAAAATAACAGTGATCCAGAAGGATCAGTCCGACTTACCGGCATGGCTCTGGTTGAGCGTCGGCCTATGAACCAGGAGATCACTGTTCAATCCCTAGCCAATATTTGCTCAACTATGCCTGGGTTGCAGCCTCTATCTCCAGTGAGGGGTGTGTAGGAGACAGCCAATCAATGATTCTCAAGATTGATGTTTCTATCTCTCTCTCCCTCTCCCTTTTTCTCTGAAATAAAAAAGAAAAATAGAATTTTCTTGATGAAAATGTTCTCTATCTGTTGTTAAATATAGTACCTATACGCCACATAGTACTGTTGAGCATTTGAAGTGTGAGTACTAGACTAAGGAACCTAATCTTTTAATTAATGTATCTTTAAATAGCCACATGTGGCTTAGTCACTACCAAATTAGCATAGATATTGAGAGTAAAACAAAATTAGTCTTTATTCATCACCATCTTCTATATCATTTCCACCTTGGGGAAGGTATTTGGGATTTTTCTTAATGGTTTGATATGTGTTTTTCCAGATCTTATTCTATACTATAACAAATGATAATAGATTAAAATATTAACAAATAATTTCACTTATTTTTAACAAAAATGGTGTTGCAGAGCACTGCATGTTTTCTTTTATACTTGCTATATTTTAGATCTTTCCACATGCTTTCTTTTTAATAGATACCTTGTGCCGCATTGTAGAGTACTATAATTTATTCAACCACTCCACTAAGGATGTGTGTACTCATATATGTTCTTTTTGTGTTTTTTGCTTCTAGAATTAATACATTTTTCTGTATTTTTGCTCAAATATTTGAGTATTTGTTGAATAAATTCCCAGTAGAATATTCAGACATTGTTCAATTTAACAATCATTACTAAATTGCTTTCCCAAAGGGCTATGCAGTTCCAACATCCACCAACCATTTATATGAGACTGGCAGTCACTTTTAATGTTTAAATATGTTAAAGAGATTATCTTAACATTTTCTTTTAAAATTTTTATTTATTTTTTAGTTGATAGACTTCAATTTTAGAGCAGTTTTAGAGTATAAAAGCATTGAAATAATTTAACAGCAAAATTTCTACAAGCAGGCGTTTTCCTTGAGATTATTTTAGCTTACATTGAGAAATCATTTGTTTATTGGCCAAAAAAAGGGCAAAGCTAATACTCCCTTCTCTTTGCCAGCTCAATTTCTATGATTAAACTGCATTGGGAAGTATTTGTATGTAAAATAATCATATAATATTTAATGTTTTTATATAATGGTAAATTTGATTTAGAATTTAAAATTATGACTTTCATCCATGAAGACAATATGTAAAATTGATAATGTTTTATGCATTTTAATTTACAGCTGCAGACAATGAAACAAGAGACTATCTTCAGAATACATATAACCTGAATAATGTGTTGGCAGGAGTGGTATGTCGGAGCAGCACTTGCCACAGTGATTCATTGTTTTTGCAGGTATACACATCCACACAGTACTTTTCACTGCATACTTATTCTTCCTTATTTTCATATTAAAATTGATAGTATCTGTTAGCAACTGCTAGCTTATCAAGTACAATATGAATGATTAGGCACATTCTTACCATTAATAAATTTAAGAACTAGTTGATCAGTATTTAAAATGATTTTAAAAGTTGTGGAGAAGGGAAGCTTATTCACATTAGCACTATTATTAAAGAAAAAAATATATATAATAACTTATTTGACAGACTTATAAACACAGATGTCAGCATTTAGACAGTTATTTACATTAAAATTATAATTTGAGTTGGCATCTAGTCTCGTTGAGGAAACATTCTACAAAATTGAAGGTATACTGTACTGTAGATTTAATCTTATTTAGCATAGACTCACAGCTCTTATAACCATAATATTTTATTGAACCTAAAATGCAGTTGTAAAAAAGAAAAGTGTTGGCAATTAAACATACATTAAATTTTAAATATGGTAAATGTAAAAAAATAATATATCTTAGAATTGATATATGTTTCAACCTACATATTCTTTTAAGATGATAAAATATACCAGGTTGATGAAAAGATGCTTTGTTTAAGATAGGATGTATAGGAATGTGTGAATCAGAGGATGAATCCTATGGTTCCTGGTAGTCTTATTACTTTGTGTTAAAAAGAGAAAACCATTTTAAGAAATGAAAACATTTTTGGTCTAAATTCTGCCTCCTAAAATGGTGATATGTTCAGAATATGCACAGAACTCTATAGTTTGTGAGTATGCAGTATGTTTTATTGTGTTTATATTCATTACTGTTTTTTAATTCTCAGTGCATTCAACTTCTGCAAAAGTTAACATATAACGTCAAAATTTTCCATTCTGGTGCAAATATAGATGACTTAATTACATTCCTGATAGATCATATGTGAGTATGCAACCAAACATGTAACCAAATAATCTATTGGTTTATTTTTAAACTAAAACCATGTCACAATTCAATTTTTCTTAAATTTTCCCATCTTCTTTAAACTAAGACTGATTTCTTATCTACTCTTAGATAATTTTAAGAATCAAATGATATAAACCAGCTTTAATTTTTATAACAAAATTTATGAAATGACTTTATTTGAACAGAAAGAAATTATTGACCCTGAAAATTGTGTTTAAATTTAATCTTCTTGATGAGAAAATATACTGATGAGATAGCACATGGTCACTCTGACAGTTGTTTTTATATTTCTTTTTTTATTGCTGCTGTTGTTGATTACCTCCCACCCTTTTCCGCCTTCTCTCTGAGATTCCACACTCTATTCCATGTTTCCATGTCTCTGGATTCACTCTATCAGTTTATTTTGTTAATGAGATTTCACATATGAGTAAGGTTATGTGATACTTCTCTTTCTCTAACTGACTTATTTCACTTTGCATGTTTTCATATTTCTGTGCTGCAATTAAATAGGATAGTTTTGTTTCAAAACATGAAATAAGTGGGCAATACTATTCAAAGCTTGATGGACTTCACATGTTAATCAGATTTTTCTTTTTGCATGCAAAGAGGAATTTATATGTATAAATTTTGAATACTTTAAAATGAATTTAATCATTTTATTTTTTTATGCTTTTTCTTAAATAACAGTCAGTCTTCTGAAGATGAATTAACAATGCCTTGTTTGGGATTATTGGCAAATCTTTGTCGACACAATCTTTCTGTTCAAACACACATAAAGAGTTTGGTAAGAATTTTATAAGATGTTTCTTGTTTTGTGGTTGCTTCTATGTTTCAAGGACATTTCATTCATTTTTCTCTTGTCCAGCTAATCCATCAGAGTTAATGAAGAATCAAATTGACATGTAAATAATTTGAATTATTCCAGCTTTCATATGTGTTGTATTTAAGATGTTAAGAGTTAATACAAGTGTTGAATACTAAAAGATTTCCTTCTGGTAGCATTATTTGTTATATTGACTAACACAAGAAAAGCTAAATTATTTTTAGCTGATAGAAGGAAGGCACATCATAGGCAATCCCTTTTACCCTATTCTTTGTATTTCCACAAAACCAGTGTGAACTCCACCAAAAGATTAATCAGTAAATGACTTGCACCAGTACTTGCAACAAGTGAAGGCACACTGATGCATTTAACTGACCCATTAGAAATGTATTAAATCTAGGAAGTTTGTTGATTGTTTAAGGTACTTTGTGAACAGTTCCCCTGCTGTGCAATCTATTTTTTTAAATTAATTTCTTTATTGATTATGGTCCCACATATTTGTCCTCAACCTCCCATTTCAATCCCCTTCCCACTTATGCCCCAACCCCCTATTGTCCTTGACCACTGGTTAGGTTCATATGTGTGCACATAAATCCTTTGGTTGATCTCTCCCTTTTATCCCCATCCTCCCTTTGAGGTCCACCCTCCCTTTTATCCCCACCCTCCCTTTGAATCTGACCCGTGGCTCCTTATCTCTGGGTGTGTTCTTGTTCATCAGTCTATGTAGTAACCTATTACCTGTTTAGTTTTAAATTAAATAATATCTCATTTCTTCATGTTGGATTATTCTGACCTGATCTTATTTTGAAGTGGGGTTATTAAACTTTTACTCTTAATCCCGTATCTAAACAGTGTTCTTCACCAAGATTGTGCCTGTTGATACTACTGTACACAATATATAAAATATCCTCTCCTTGAAATGATCTCTTAAGTTGATAAGAATGTTTAATAATAAAAGCTTACCTACCCTATGGAAGATATGCTTTTTGAAATCAAATATAAAACAATTTTTTATTCTAATTTAATTTTTAAATTTCTTTTTCCTCAGAATAATGTGAAATCTTTTTATCGAACTCTTATAAGCTACATGGCCCATAGTAGTTTAACTGTAGTTGTGTTTGCACTTTCAATATTATCCAGTTTGACATTAAATGAAGAGGTGGGGGAAAAGGTAAATATGATTTCTTATTAATATTTTTTAAGATAATTATGAAGTTTTATTCTCTGATACTTTAAGTCATTGAGCCTCTTTATTAAGTTTTAGGATGATTTCAACTTAACTCTTTTTTTTGTATAATATGCTTTCCCTAATTTGTTTTTAAGTTGTTCCATGCTCGAAACATTCATCAGACTTTTCAGCTAATATTTAATATTCTCATAAACGGCGATGGCACACTAACCAGAAAGTATTCAGTTGACCTACTGATGGATCTCCTTAAGAATCCTAAAATTGCCGATTATCTTACCAGGTATGACTCTCTGACAAATTTTAAGACTTAAAAATACCAAAATTGTCTTTTTAGATTTAGTAAACTTGAATTCTACTGATTCACAATAGACCAAATAAGGATATTTCGATGTGCTTTATTCCCATTCTTTTGCTTTCCCGGCCTGAAATGTAAAAGTATAACAAGGCGTGTGTGTAAGTTTCAGTCTTTGCTTTAGATGAATAAAGTTGTATTAGTCTCCAAAATGTGCACACCATGATTAATCTGTTTTGAAACCAGTTTTAAATCTTAAACATGATTTTTTAAAAGAATATTTTTATTATATTCTTTCAGTATGTCTTTTTGTGTTTTCTTTTTTTATAAAAATTGATATTTCCTTCAGTGGGTGTTTCTAGTGTGTTATAAGGTAAAAATGAGAACACATGTTTAAATGTTTGTTCTATTTCAGTGGCATTTCATGTGATTATTTATGTTTTGAGATTGATTAGTAACTGTTTCCCAGAGAGCTCACAGTTTTTGTATCTTGAGTTAAGTTTTCCTAGTGTGATCCTAAGTTAGAACATTGTTGAAATTGTTTTTAAGAGTTAAATTAACGAACCATTCAGAAACAAGAAAATGTTTATTGAGCTCTGCTATAGTCAAGTGTGGGGAAGGAGAAGTCATATAGTTAATAATACTTTGTAATACCAAACAGCATTCACATTGGCATTTTTATATTTTCTTCTCTTAAGCTTCAGTAGATAAGAGAACTGTCTTCCAGAGTGCCCTCTCTTTATCTTCCCTCTCTTATCCTAAGAATCTTCCCAATATATCTCAAGTAATACCCATTCTGACCATCAAATGGTGCTTATTTAACAGCTTTGGAGTAAAGCAGAAAAATTATTTTGAGTATACCTCTCTAGGACAGAAAGATAATCTGATTTAACATTACTAAGTAATTGTTTACTCACTTCTGGATATCTCTCAGTTGCATTATCTATTTTCTTTTCTGTCTAACCTAGAACCTTAGAGTCCCCTCTGGAAAGAAAATTATGTTGACCTCTATGTATTTGCTCTACCATTTAATAAAACATTCCTGTTCCAAAGTCTAACTGAATCCCTAAGTTCCTGATCGAAGCTTGAGAAAAATCATACCTTATAAATTTTTATGCTGCATGTTTATGATCTCTAACTTTATCTACAATAGTTAACACCTCTTACATTTATTCCCATTCAGCTTTCTTTCACACTTTCTACAGTAGCTCCTTTAAATATTTACTATTTTCATCTGGCACTTTTCACTTAGAAGATGTCCTTAATCTTTGTTTTACAGGAAAAACAAAACAAAACACAGAATCATATATAATTGCAGTTACCTCAAATATGTTATGGGCAAAGTTATTCCAATTCTTACTGAGTGTCCTGTTTTGTTTATAAACATATCCCATTATTCTGTGCATTAAGTCTTATTCTGTCCTATTTTCAGCAGTTTCTCCTATCTCTCTAGTGTCTACCATTCAGTTGACTTCCTTGATTTATACATATGCTCAACTCTCACCCTTTTCAACTGTATGTCCCTTTAATTCTGATCTACCATTGTATTCAAGGTGAATATTCAAATTCTCAATATAGCCCTCCAAATGTGGTGACTGGCAATCTATCAGCTGTATTTCTTTTTATTTTCTTTTGTATATACTTTTGTATAATAATTTCAGACAATAAATAGAACCATCAACTTGCTAGATATGCCATTTCATGTGGCCATGTACCATTTCCTCTGGAGTGCTTCATCTGGATGGCTGAAATACTCTTTCCATTATATATGTCTGGTGCCTTTTTAAAAATATATATATATTTTATTGATCTTTTACAGAGAGAAAGGGAGAGGGATAGATTAGAAACATATATGAGAAACATTGATCAGCTGCTGTCTCCTGCACACCCCCTTCTGGGCATGTGCCCACAACCAAGGTAAATGCCCTTGACTGGAAATGAACCTGGGACCCTTTAGTTCGCAGGCCGATGCTCTATCCTTTGAGCCAAACAGGTCAGGGCACCTTTTTGTTCTTTAACAGTCAAGTTTGCAAAGCTTCACCTGATCAGGCCTGTTTCTACCAAATCTGGGTTTATATCCATCCTATTTCATAGCATTTTCATTATACCATATTTTACATTACATTATATTATTTTGTCCTTCTGCCTCCATCCTTGTGACTGTGAGTTCTCTGACAGGGCACTGTTCTCCCAAATCTAGGATATACCAGTCACATGGAACATAATGTGAATGGTATCACTAGTACCTCTTAGAGTTGTTTAACATAAGGCCGTGCTCCTTACCTTTATATCTGCAGAGCCTAACTTAATGTCTGGAAATTGTAGATGCTTTATAAATAAGTATCTGTCTAATTTATTGTATATTAGTGTTCCTTGAATTTTACAACCTTTAAAAAAACGCTATGCAGATATAGAAAGTTTCAGTGATTATTACCACGTATCATTTTTTTTTCATCATTTTATAAATGTCAGCCAATTTATGTACATCGGTGTGGCAGAATATGCTTTAAGTTTTGAGAAAAACTTTATAAAGATTTTTATATTAGAAGCCAAAATAAATAGATGAAAGAAAATATAATTAAATTTTATATTTGTTTTGTACATAAATTATTTTTGATGTATCAATTTTATAATCTTACTTGATATATTTTTTAAATTTTGTATTACCGGTAATTTTGGGTATACAGCATAGTGGTTAGACAACAATATACAAAGTTGTTTCCCCTTGATATTTCCAATACCCACCTAGCGTCCTATATAGTTATTACAATGTTATTCATTTAATATATATTTTTTATTTTAAACCTAGGTATGAGCACTTTTCTTCATGTCTTAATCAAGTATTAGGTCTTCTTAATGGAAAGGATTCTGATTCTTCCTCAAAGGTAGGTAAAAACATGACTCTTTGTTTTAAACTTTAAAAAAAACTATAATATGAGGAAAAATCTAAGTGCACAGTTCTCTCAATTTTTACAGAGAGGAAGGGAGCGGGATAGAGAATTAGAAACATTGATGAGAAAAAAACATTGATCAGCTGCCTCCTGCACACCTCCTACTGGGGATGTGCCTGCAACCAAGGTACGTGCCCTTGACGAAAATCGAACCTGGGATCCTTCAGTCTGCAGGCCAATGCTCTATCCACTGAGCCAAACCAGTTAGGGCTATGCTATACTTTTTAATCATTATTTTAGAATGTACTTTCTACTTATAAAAATAAGTTTGCTGTAAAACAGCAAATGCTGTTAATCCAGTAGCACCTTCAAAGATCTTGTGTTTATAGCATCTCTTGATGCATTATTGTCTGTTGTGCTTGATTTTATCTCATTTTGTCAATTTACTGTAGGCATACAGTGTTTACAAGTCTACAGTAAGGTACAGTAAAGTCTTAGGCCTTCACACTCACCACTAAATCACTCACCCATAGCAATTAACCTTTTTAAAAAAAAAAAATGTTTTATTGATTTTTTTTTTTAACAGAGAGGAAGAAGAGGGATAGAGAGTTAGAAACATTGATGAGAGAGAAATATCGACCAGCTGCTGCCTCCTGCACACCCCCTACTGGGGATGTGCTCGCAACCAAGGTACATGTCCTTGACTGGAATCGAACCTGGGACCTTTGAGTCCACAGGCCGACGCTCTATCCACTGAGCCAAACCGGTTTTGGCAGCAATTACCCTTTTTTAAAAATCTTTTATACTATATTAGTATAAAAGAATTTTAATCTTTTATACTTTATATAGTATGATAGCAAATGTTAATTATTTTTAATGCTTGTGTTTTTGTTTTGTTTTTTAAACAAAACTTAAAAAAAATTAAGTACTGTAGAAGGAATATAAACATTAGTTGAAGTTGCCCTTCCTCCTTTGGCCTTCATAGTCCTGTTAACGAAAAGTAACCATCACTAATAAATTACTTTGTAATCATGTGGAAACTTTTAACTCATTTTGAAAAATAATACTGAAAGAAAAATTGGAAGCTGCTCCTAATTTTTGTTGTAAAGTGTTTTCTTTTAAAATGTATGTCAATTTCAGCTTTATAATTTGATTGTGCACTAAAGTCTAAGGAATTGACATTTAATAAAGACTTTATATTGCACAGGTTTTAGAATTACTTCTTGCCTTCTGTTCAGTGACTCAGCTGCGCCATGTGCTCACTCAGATGATATTTGAACAGTCTCCCTCTGGCAACACTGTTCTGGGAAGCCGTTCTAAATGTGTAGAACCTACTGTAGCTCTTCTTCGATGGTCAAGCCAACCCTTGGATGGATCAGAAAACTGTTCTATTTTAGCATTGGAACTATTTAAGGAAATATTTGAGGTAATATTTAACAGTTTGACTTTTCCATTCTCATGATTCTCAGTTGTTTTTAAAAAAATGTACATAATAAACTTCCAGTTGTTCATATGTTTTAGGAAACCTTTTCCAGTACTAAGCTCCCTAACATTCAGCTACTGAATTTTTTTTCTCTGGCAAAATCACAAATATTAGTGTTTTCTTTTTTATTTACATACTGAATAGCTTAATATGTACTCCTTTCAGTGTAATAAGTAAAGGTTTATGGTTTGTATGTTTTACTGTTTTTTGAAGTAATCACATTCTGTCTGTCTCAGTAGATGCTGTCTGCTCTCTTTATTAGCCTTTTTAGTTGATTAACAGAGGAACATTGGATTCAGTCAGTGAAGTATCATTGAGCACACTAGGCATGTCTAAACACTTAGAATACAGAAAAAATTCCTTCCGTAGAGGCTATTATATTCCAGCAGATTCTACTACCACGGTCATTTTGTATTCACCACTATTCCCCCTGTTTTTACCCATCCCACCTACCCTCATTCTCCTCCTGAATGTTCCCCCTTCCCTTACTAGATCCTATGCACAAACAAATGTGTATGAATGATTAAATGTATTTGTTAGGAATTATACACCAGTTATTTTTTTCTGTTTTATATTGGTCTTGATTGTTAATCAGTTTTAATATTTAAAGAGCCCTTTGAGATTCTTGATGGGAATTATTTGTGGTTGTAAAGCATTAAAACTAGTGTTTGTTTAATTATTGTAATTACATTTAGCAAATTCTGGATATTTGTTTTTAGTACACTTTATAATAATTTTTAAATCACAAGTATAATCTATTTAGAAATTGTTTGCAGTTGATTAACCCAAAACCTTATTGTTCCATTTGAAGAAAAGCTCATCATAGTCTCAAACTGGTTAAAAGGGTAGATTTTAAATAGGAGGTACAGGCCGATGAACTATTAGGTAAAAAATTTAAAGAGAATATTGCAGCTCTGTGATGACTACTTCTGCATTCTGTATTCCATCTTTTGTTTTGTTTTGTTTTTAATCATTGGTGGTTGTTATATTCCAGGATATCATAGATAGTGCTAACAGTTCCTTAGCTGACCGTTTTGTGACCCTTCTGCTGCCTACAGTCCTTGATCAGCTTCACTTCACAGATCAAAATCTAGATGAGGCCTTAATAAGAAAAAAATGTGAAAGGATGATCAAAGCTACTGAAGTTTTGCTAAATATCCTTTACTATTACAAATATGGAAACTAAATAACTTTTTCCCCCAGCATTGTATTTACTGCATTTTTGTCTTTGGTTATAATTTTGTTTCTCATGCTTGTATCTATTCACAATTATTGAACTGAAGTTTAAATATAGAACTAATTCTCAATGAATAACTTCTATAAAAGTTATTCAGACATTTTTTTCCTTATTTTTGTGCAAAATTTTTAAGCTAAAGAACATTTCCAGAAATGCATTTTAAACTTGATTTTTATCATAATTGTAGATTAATATCTATATTCTAAAATAACTGCCCTTTCACTTTCTTCTGACGCTAATAGTTGGCCCCTGGGTGATTCGTTGTGCCATCTTTGGTGGAATCTATCAGAATAAATAAATGTTGATAAAGGTGTCATTATTTTAGCTCAGTAAATTTTAGCTCTGTTTTATAAATTAAAGCATAAATGTTTTTATTAAAGGTGACATCACACTTGATTATAAAACAGACAAATGTTATCAAGACAAATTAACTCATTTAAAAAAAAAAAGACCTTGAGTACAATTAGTGTCACTGCTTAACTTCTGTATACTGACTTTCTTAGGTCTGTCTTTGTTAATTTTTTTTAGATCAGCTGATTCTAACCCTCCAAAAAGTCCAAATCTCAATTTTTAAAAAACTTAATAATGCTTTTTTAAAAATTATCAGTAAGGAACTACTATATTTGAGCCAAATCTCTTACATTTATCTAGGTAGGTTTTTGTCCTGCCTTAGAACAAACACCACATCTCTTTCCTCTCCTCTCTGAGCTGCTGCTGCTTAATTACCTTCTTCCTTTATAGCAGTGACTCTCAATGTGAGCTGTTTATTAGAATCACTAGGAGAACATTTTAAAAATACTGATACCAGAATCTTACTTCCAGAGATTCTAATTTAACTGAAGTAATGTGAAAACCTAATGGGGAGCAGTGTTTATGATTATTTTTTTAAACTTCCTAGGTCCATGGCTGGCAAACTGTGGCTCACAAGCCACATGTGGCTCTTTGGCCCCTTGAGTGTGGCTCTTCCACAAAATATCATGGTCTGGGCAGAAGTGGCATTAGAAGTTTAAAAAGTTTGGTTCTCAAAAAAAATTTCAGTCGTTGTACTGTTGGTATTTGGCTCTGTTGACTAATGAGTTTGCTGACCACTGACCTAGGTGATTCTGACATATAGCCAGAACTGAAAACCATTGCAGTAGAGATAAATGATTGCTTTGCTTGACCTTATCCATAATATATTCAGGCCTTCTCTTATTGATTGGTACCTATTTATTTATTTATGAGAGAGAGAAACATCAATTTGTTATTCCACTTATTTATGCATTCATTGGTTGATTCTTGTGTGTGTCCTGACCAGGGATCAAACCCACAACTTTGGCATATCAGGACAGTGCTCTAACCCACTGAGCTGCCAGATCAGGGGAAACCTTGACTCTTTTCAATGATAAATCCTATATAATAAAAGCCTAATATGCTAAGTGTCCTACCACATTCAACCAGTCACTATGATGCACACTAACCCCCAGGGGGCAGACACTCCCGACCAGTAGGTAAGCTTGCTGCTGGGGTTTGGCCGATCGGGACTGGGCAAGATGGGCCAGAAGGGCCCTGGAGCCCTCCCACGGTCCCTCCCCACTCCTGATTGTGCACCTATGGGGTCCCTCTGGCTGTCCTCTGCCTTCTTGCAATTTAGGACCCCTCGGAGATGTTGGAGAGCCGGATTTGGCCTGATCTCCGCAGGCTAGGCAGAGGGGCCCCACCGGTGTACAAACCCATGCACCGGGCCTCTAGTATTCAAAATAACTTACAATATAAAAGTATAAGAAAATAGCTTCCTTTAGTTCAATAAATATTTATTGAACCATTGTGATGCCTGTTAACAAAAGACTCACATCTAGTAGCGGAATATTTCTTTCAGTTTCACCTTTGAGTCTGAAACTTTTGGTGTCAGTCTCATCACTTACCTGTCATTTAAATGCTCTGAGCTCTAGTTTCCTAATCTGTCATTGAGCTAATGTAACAATAATTACACCACATCTCAGTGAGATAATTTGCATGAAATAATCCTCAATGCTATAAAGTGCTATACAAATATAAGGTTTTTTGAGAAATTTTTTGTGTGCCTTAACAAAACTTACCTCTATGTGGAGACGATACTCTAAAAGTGCATGTTGCAAAAATTCTGACTACTGTCAAATGTTCCACTCTGATAGAACAACAGTTTACATATGGCAAGATTGATCTGGGTTTTGGAACAAAGGTAGCTGATTCTGAATTGGGGTAAGTATATGAAATTCAAATTGTGAAATGGTGCAGCCAAACTTAATAAAAATAAAAAGATGTAGTGATTCTCATCTTTTGAAAGCATATCCTTGGGGTATATTCTATTTTCTCAAGGAGTAGTGGAGAATTAAAAATATTTTTATAATGATTTTTTAGAAAATCTGTTTAATCCATAGATCACATGCTTCTGAAGAAAGATATTAACATTTTGGTTTATTTTTCATTGTTTAGGTTTGTTTAATCATTATTGTAATTATCTAAGGGTCTGTTATACACCTGAGCATTCCTTTTCTGGACATCTTTTTGACATTGCCTTAGTAACTATTTTTATGTCCATTTAATTTTATATCTTTAAATGCAAAAGCATGAAAAAAGAGGTGTAGTTTTTATTCATGAGCAAATTATTCACTGCTAAAAGTTTTCAATAACATAGACAACCCTTCTACCTTAGCATGTTAAGATTTCTGGTTAAAAATGCCATAATAATGGGATTACTTTAACCCCCTCCTCCACATGAATTAAGTCCATCTGACAAGTATTTATTGAGGACCTGCTAAGAGTTAGATACTATGATTTGTTCCAATTTTCATAAATATATTTGTTAGAATTGTACTCTTCAATAAGAAGGATTATCTTTTTTACTTTTTTATCCTCCCTTTTGGGTACAGTTTAGTATAATTCATTCAGTAAATTTAGGTATTACACCATTGCCCTCTATTGTTGACATTCCCGTGGCAAAGCTAAGAATTAAATGGGTCATATTACCAATGCCGCTAGTAATTTGAAGCAGAAAGTTGAGGTAGAGTGGTATTTGAGAATTGAAAAAAAAAATAAATTCCATCAGAATTATTAATGCTGATTTATTCTCTTTGGTTCTGTTCTTGAGTTTAAATATCTGTATGATATTTTTACTTTTCAGTAATATTTTACTTCTCAAAAGAAACAGTACTGCATTTTCTTGAGGTTTAAAAACAAAGATGTTGGTTTTCATTTTCTTTACAATTATGTACAGAAATAAGCTCTAAGGAAATTTTTAGTTAACTAATTTAAATATGACTTTTTTTTTTAAGCACGCTTGCTGCTGATGTGATTTTGAAAACTCTTGATTTGATGAACAGACTTAAGCATTTAGTTCCTGGTATGGAAGTAAGCTTCTACAAAATCCTTCAGGTGAGTTTATACTCTTCAAATAATTGTAGTTACTCATATGTAAATGCTTCCTAAATATATGTTTCTGTTTGAAAATTCTTAATTTTTAAAAGATTATTTCCTTAGAATTGGCATCAGAAGGAAGTTTAAAGCTGTTAATTGTCTTAATTACCTATAATATTCTCAATGCATAGTTATGTTACATTTTTGCAGAAACTGAACCTAAGTGCTCCTGGTTCTAATGTACGGAATATTCATGATAGCTACACTTGCTAAGCCTTTTTCTTTTTGCGTCCTACTTCAGTTTTCTTCATTTATTTCTATCGGCGTGGTGATGATGGGAGTGGTATTTGTTTGGGGGTTTTGTTTTTAGTTTGAATTGATGAGGTAGGATATTAAGGGGTAGGGAGACATTTGGAAGAAAAGGACTTGATTATGAATGGGAAGATTAGAGAGGCTGTGCAGAAAATAGCTAACTTGAAAATTTAAATGATAGTAGCTAAATAAGAGCTCTAGATGTTTAGCTTGGTATCCACAAAACCTGCTTTATAATAGATATTTAACAACAATGTGTGGATTAAGTTACTTTAATAAATTAACCAAGATGGTTCTCATGCCTCTGTAGACAGAGTAGAAGCCAAAATATACCTTCGGCTGGGGAAACTTGTACACTTTAAGAGCATAATGCTTAAGAGACAGGGTTTAGTAATTGACTCCACTACTTATTAGATACTGCAGACTTGAGCCAGTTATTTTGCCTCTCTGAGCTCCAGGTTCCTGACTACAAAATGCAAATAATGATCCCCCTCCATGGGAGCAATTATGGTAGGTTACCATGGGGATTACAAAGATAAAGTCCAGCTCTTATCATGGTTCTGTGGCATATATATATATATATATATATATATATATATATATATATAAAGAGCCAGGGTCTGTAACATTTACAGTGACTGAAGGCTTGACCTAACGCCTAGTCTGGTGGGTGGGGACTTGTGGCAGCGGGCTTGAGGCCGGGGGAGGTGGGGCCTGCACTCACACTCATTCACAACCTCACACATGCACAGACATACACAGCACCCACCAGCTCACAGCCTTTTCTCCCTTTCTTTCCCTCCCTCCCAGCTTGCTCTCAGAGCCTCTCTCAGAATGAGGCCTTAGGGAGGGCAGAAGGTGGAGCTGCCTCTACTGGCCCCACCCACTCCCAGGGAGAGAGGGAGGCAGGGAGGCCTGAAGGACTGCTAGGAAAAACAAAAAGAGAGATTAGGAGAGATTGACATGGAGAGATGGAAACAAAATAACAATATTAAAATATTTCCTCTAATTAATTCCCTTTTAATGTGTACGAATTTCTTACACCAGGCCACTAGTTAGATTATATTTAAGTACCTATAAGACACTTAACATTGTACTAATAAAATTTTGATCATTATAAAGAATTCATGTTCTAATGTTTTTCTCATAATAGATGATTTGGGGCTTACAGTATTAATATAAAATATTTACTAACATGACGGACTTATGCTTTAACTATAATTGTTTTAGTCTCTAAATTAAAAATTGTATTGAGTTCATTTGAATTTTACTTTAACTTTTTACTTTAATTTGCAAATGATTAGCCAGTTTTTCTTTTAAATGGTAGCTAGAAAAAAACAATAATTTAAAACATTAGTCAGTTGTAGTCAGATGTTAAATTCATGAAAATATTTAAGACATGATTTTTATAAGTACAGTCAAAAACACTCAAAATCTTTGCCAGATTTTTAAAGCTAGCATTAGTATTGATTGTTAAGACAATTATAACAAGGTAAAAACTAATAAATACATTCAAATATCATATAGAAACACTTTAAACTTTGTCTAAAATTATTTTATGATTTACTCTGTTTATTCACCTTACTCTAAAAGACCTGACATTAACTTATTCTTTCTGCCTCTTGTTTTCTGGTTTTTGATTTGCTTAGGATCCACGCCTGATAACTCCTTTGGCTTTTGCTTTAACATCAGATAATAGAGAACAAGTCCAGTCTGGACTGGGAATATTATTGGAAGCTGCTCCACTGCCAGACTTTCCTGCTTTAGTGTGAGTCGTAATCATTTGCAATATATCTCTTAAAGTGCAGGACTATCCTGCTGTGTTTCTTTAATTGGTCTCAATATAGCCAGGTTAGAAAATTAGTGAACTGAAGACTTCATTGTAACAGTAATTTTTCAAGTAATTAAAATTTGATTCCAACTGAAAAGACCAGGTATATGTATACTCTAGGAAAAGCTAGATCCAGGTGGTTAAATATGTTATGCACCTCCTGTGTCTATCTGTCTCTTACTTCTTTTTAATGTAGTAGACTCTGGACTAAGCTTATATCCTACCAGTTTAGTTCCTCCCTACAAAAAGCTTTTGCTTCTCAGCTGTTTTAAATCCAAGCATCACTGTCATTGACCAGACCTAGGTCATTTGCCAAGGAGGGGACCTTGGTAAATGGCAAGGGTTTAGACAGGAGAACTACATGAACTGGAGGTTGGGAGTTAGGGAATGTGGGAGGTTGGAGGTAGGGGGTGAGAGGATTCCCCAAGAAAAGTTCTGTACTTTTATTAGAAAGCCAGGCAAAATTACCCACTATACTCATTAATTTTAAACATTAAGAGAATATTTGCAATTAGATTTAAAAAACAAACAAAATGTCTAGTAGGGTTATACTTTTAAAAAGTTGAAGTGATTTGTATAAATGTACGTATTTGCAAAAGTAGTTTGAATAAACTGAAGCAGTGATAAGTAGGTAAGACATTTGTACATGTGAGATGTCAGCAAACTAACCAGCCAACAGGAGTCTGTTTTTATAAATAAAGTGTTAATGGCACAGGGCCATATCAACTCATTTTCATACTGTCTGTATTGTCTGTCTATATTCATGATATAACGTCAGGATTGGGAAGTTCTAACAGAGACTATATAGATGAGGAGTGAGGAATCTTTTTTTCTCCCAAGGGCCATTTGATTTTTATAATATCATTCGAGGGACATACGAAATTATCAACATAAAATTAGCCTACTACATTTAATTAACTCACTCCTAATGTCTTTGTGGACCTTATATGGCCTGTAGCCAGACGTTTCCCACTCCTGGATAGACCCTCAAGCCTCAAATATTTACTGCCTTGTCCTTTAAGAAAAAGTTTGCTAACCTCTGCTATTTCTAATAACTGACTTAGCAAACTCATTTTTCAGAAGTAATTTAAATAGTTATATATCCAGAGAGGAAGAACTACAGAAAACAAGACTTAAAGATCACTTAATCATAATCCCCCCCTCTTTTTTTTTTTAATCCTCATCCAAGGAATGAAGATATTTTTCCCATTGATTTTTTTAGAAAGAGTGGAAGGGATGAGAAGGAGGAGAGAGAGACAGAGACAGAGAGAGACATTGATGTATTAGAGATACATCTATTAGTTACTTCCCGCTCTTGCCCTGGTCAGGGCCAGGTATTGAACCTGCAATCCTTCCGTCCACAAGCCAACACTCTAACTATTCAGCAACTGGCCATGGCAAAAGTTCCTTAATTAAATATATTTAGTTTATTGATTTCAGGGAAAGGAAGAGAGAGATGCATCAATGATGAGAGAGTTATCAATCTGCTGCTTCCTGCATGCCCCCTACTGGAAATAGAGTCTGCAACCTGGACTTCTGACCTCCTAGTTCATAGGTCAACCCTCAACCTCTGAACAACACTGGCCAGGCTCCCTTCATTTTATAATAAGTATTTTTAAGAAACAAATGAACAAATAGGGGACTTTTCAAGTCACAGGATGGAAATGGTGGTAGTCTGCTTGCTTCAGCTGTGGTAATCTTGACATGAAGCAAAACCTCCACATTTCAGAATGGAAAGTTTAAGCATCACTGAAAGTGGGAGTTCATCTTTATCTGCATGTGTCACCTTCCCACCATTTCACTATCTTGGTTGTCCTTGTCTTACTTGTGTTGTATAATTTTCTCTTTGGAAACTATTTCAGGTGTGCATTTATATCTATTTATACCTTTGTTTACATTGCCTTAGCAGTTTAATATGGTGAAATTATATGATGAATGGATGGGTGGATGGGTGTGTAAGTAGGTTTTTTTGGTGTGTGTTAATTTTATTTAAATATTTAACAAACATCCAGGGCCAACTTTATGCCAGGTTCTCTCCTATGCATTTTGGACATTGCAGTGAATTAGACACCAGGCCTTCTGTCATGATGTTTACATTCTAGTTGGGAGACAAGTAAATTTTATAATGTGCAGATTATGAGTAGAGGGACCTCTCTGAGGAAGGGAATTTAAAATGAGACTCGATGATAAGGAAGAACCAACACTATGCAGATCTGGTGAGACAAGTGTTCTACATAAAGCAGCAGCTTGTAAAGGCTCTGAGACAGGAATCAGACAGGGTAAATAGAAGGGGTGGAGCGGAAGTCAAGTTTGTGAGAACATACACTGAGGGAGAAAGGGGAAGGGTGAAGACCATAGATAAAGGCCAGGTGATGTTAACGTACCAGTGGTAGCGATGTTCTCACCACTATCAGTAATGTTGTACTTAATTTTTACAAATAAATTCACACTTACCATTTAGTTCTAGTGCCCCTAAACCAAATGTAGAGTAGTTTTTATAAAGGGTTGTAAGTAGGAGTTTCCTTTAGCAAATTTAGATATTTCCAAAAATCCCACTTCATCATAGATTCTGAGATTATTTCCAAAATGACTCTTTCTGGTTCTCATTCAGACTTGGAGAAAGTATAGCAGCAAACAATGCCTATAGACAACAGGAAACAGAACATATGCCCAGAAGAATGCCTTTGCAATCATTAAATCACAGTTTTCCAACATCAGTAAAATGTTCAACTCCTCCAGTCTTGAAAGATAAAATGCCTGGATTGAACATTGAGGACTTAATAGAGAAACTTCAGTCTGGAGTAGTGGTGAGTGATAAACAGCATTATAAATGGGATTCTGCTTGCTACATATCAATGAATATCAGCCCTGATTATAACAACTTTAGGTGCAGATTTGATTGATTAAACTATTTAATATAAAAAATGTCAATATTTTGGAAATACGAAAAATATCAGCCATAAAAATCCTATATTTTAACACAGCTATCATTATATCCCTACTGTTTCCCTTCCCATATCCTCAGATTAAGTAATATGTTTTAAAATCCCACAAGCATTCCAAATTTTACCCAAGTATTCTTAGACAATAGCCAGGTTAGTGAAATGTTTGTGAATGGCCTGATATGGCATTCTTCTTTTTTTTTTTTTTACTTGTTACTTATTAAGTTTTAATGATTCTGTTTTTTAGTAGGCTCTTTTTTATTTTGTCAGATGTTAAAATTTTCTGATTTTTGACTCAATTGTATTAAAATTTAGGTAAAGGATCAGATTAATGATGTGAGACTATCTGACATAATAGATGTATATGAAATGAAACTCTCTACATTAGCAGTGAGTACAATCTTATTTTAACTACGTGTAACAATTAAGCTTTTATGGATGTATTCCAGTAAATGATGAAGATTAATGCAATTTTTTTTATAGTCCAAAGATAGCAGGCTACAAGATCTCTTGGAAGCAAAAGCTCTAGCCCTTGCACAGGCTGATAGACTGATTGCTCAATATCGCTGCCAAAGAACTCAAGCTGAGACAGAGGTGTGTATAATATAAAGACTCATCTGATGAGTACAAAGGTAAATGAAGTAAAACGTACAAAATATTAGTTATATCTTTGTTGCTCTGATTGAAATAAATTGTTCTCAGCATTTCACATAACTACTCCCTCTGTCTTGAAACCCTTTTACCTTTAATTTTGATTACACCAGTATCTCTAATTTTCTTTCTAATTAATGGATGTATTTTTTTAATATCCTCATCCAAGGTTATTTTTGTCATTGCTCTTTAGAGAGAATGGGAGAGAGGGAGAGGGAGAGGGAGAGAGAGAAAGAGAGAGAAAACGAGAGAAGAAAAGAAGGAAGTGTCAGAGAGAGAGAGAAGGAAGGAAGGAAGGGAGGGAGGGAGGGAGGGAGGGAGGGAGGGAGGGAGGGAGGGAGAGAGGGAGGGTTTAATTAGGCTTTCCACCTTCAGTCTACTGTCCTCTTTTCAGCCATCCACTACTTACAGCAGAATTCATCTTCCTTTTGTATTTGATTCTACCATCCATTCTTTCCTCACAGTGATACCTGAGGGTGTAATCTCATTCCATCACTGGCGTGCTGAACATACTATAGTGCACACATGTCAAACTCAAAAGCTAACATGGACCAAATAAGGTTTAAGTTTATGTGGAGCGCAAAAAAACAAAAGCTTCAATTTTCATAGAAATGTAGGTTTATTTCGATATAGACATTTTGATACGAAGGGCTGAGATACATGAGTAATCATCAACATAAAATAATAAAATATTTTAATAAAAATTATATTTTTTCTTGAACATTAACTTACCAGACTGTACAAATTAACTGTACAAATTAATAAGCGTAACACAAATAAACCTATTTTTCTTGTTCTCCGAAAGCAAAATATTTCCTGTTGCACACACCAAACAAGTCAGTACAAGATTAATGACGTGGAAATCAGCTGCTAAAATATTCACTGCTAGAATTAGCGGAGAAATATGGTGTACCTGCGCATAAAGCGCATAAGGGAAATGAATACAACACGATTATAGTAATTAGTCTTTAGCAGATATTAATAATTATGTATAACAGGATATTGTAAAAATTAAGTTATGAAATTTTTATTAAGACGTTTCTTACATACCATTATATTGGTTGGGCCGCAAAAATATTTGTTGTGGGCCGCGAGTTTGACATGCTTGCTTTAGTGGCTTATCTTTGGCTCAGAGAGCATTAAATCCTTTAGTTTGGCATGTTAGGATTCTAACCACTTCCATTGCACACCTTGCATTTCTGTGCACTCTCTACAGTCAGCCATATTAGATTACTTTTCTGTTTCTGGATCTTGACAGTGTTGGGTTTCCCTGACCTTGCACTTGCTCTTCCATGTCTAGAACACCATTTCCTCTCTCTCTTAGTAATCCTTCAGATTTTAGTTTAAATATCTCCATTTTCCAGGAAGCTACTCTGATCTTCCCACACATGTTTAGAGATCCTTCCTCTATACATCTACCCTGTGCTTCCCACTTTATAATAGTTCTCACACTACGTGAAAATTGTATGACCTCATCTCTACCCTTGATGTCAGAGACTGTTTCTGTATCTAACGGGCCCTAGCACAGTACTTTGTACTTAGTAGGTACTAAGGAAGTTTGACATTGTGTTGTGTATGTATATGTAAATAATGAATACATTATGGGTGAGAACTTAGTGCAGTAACTTGAAAATCCCAGTAGATAGAAATGGAATCTAGATAATGTAATATCACAAGTAATGAAATATAATAAAATCTCTTGATTTTTGAAAGGCATCAAAATCATTGTCAAGTACCTTACCTTTCAAATCTTTTCCAAGTAAAGGTATTCTAAAAAATATAAATAAATATAACCATATTTTTATTTATCACTAGAGGCCTGGTGCATGAAATGTATGCACTGAGGGAGAGGGGGTCCCTCAGCCCAGCCTGTGCCCTCTCACAGTCCAGAACCCCTTGCCACTTACCACCCACCTGCTTGCTGCTCCTTAGTGCTGCCATGGACATTCCTGCCACCTCTGCTGCACTTGCCAGATGTGAGCCCCTGACCACCAGGAGACAGCTCTTACATTGAGCATCTGCCCCCTGGTGGTCAGTTCATAGCAACCAGTTATTCCACCATTCAGTTGATTTGCATATTAGGGTTATATTATATAGGACAGGATATTGAATGTGAACTGTAAATGAAAAGTAAAATATAAAAAAAGAACCAAATGAAATTTTAGATCTGGAAATTTTTTTATATATATTTTTTTAATTCTCACCTGAGGTTGTTTTTTAAATTGATTTTTAGAGAGAGAAACATCCACATGACAGAAATACCAGTAGGGTGCATCTGTACCTGCTGACCCAGCAGGATCTAACCTAAACCTAAGTATGTGCCCTAACCTAGAATCCAACAAGAAATCCTTTGATGTACAGATTGAGACTCCAATTAATTGAGCCACCTGTCCAGGGAAGATCTGAAAATTTTTTTTAAAATGTACCTGCAGGTCCTAGTCAGTATGGATCAGTAGTTACACTGTCCTATGCACCAAAGGGTCATGTGTTCGATTCCAGGTAAAGGCACATACATAGGTAGTGAATTCCATCCCTGTCAGATTGCTTAGGCAACTGATCAATGTTTCTCTTTCTCCCTCCCTTCCTCTTTCTCTAGAATCAATGAAAAGAACATATTCTTAGAGGAGGACTTAAAAAGAAAATAAAAATGCTAGTTTGGTTCAGTGGAAGGGTACCAGGTTGGATTCTGATCAAGGGCACATACCTGGATTGCAGGCTTAATCCAGGGCCCTGGTCGGGAATTCAGCAAGAGGCAACCAATTGATGTCTCTCACATTAGTTTCTGTCTTTCTCCCTCCTTTCCACTCTGTAAAAAAAAAAAAAAAAAAAAAAAAAAAATCAATGCAAAAATGTCCTCAGGTAAGGATTAACCAAAATAACCACCCATTCCCAGTGTGATTATTGAAGGAGCATATGAAGTATTTGTTGAATGAATGGGAAGGAATGGGACTTCACTTTCTGTTTTAGAACTCTGTAAACCAGAGGGTTTATTTTTATTTATTTATTTAAATATATTTTATTGCTTTTTACAGCTAGGAAGGGAGAGGGATAGAAAGTTAGAAACATCGATCAGCTGCCTTCTGCACACCCTCCACTGGGTGTGCCCTTGATCAGAATTGAACCAGGGACCCCTTAGTCCACAGGCCAGTGCTCTATCCACTGAACCAACCTGTTAGGGCCAGACAGTTTATTTTTTATTTTAATTTTTATTGATTGATTATTTTAGAGTAAGGGATTGAGAGAAACACCAGTGTGTTGTTCCACTTATTATGTGCTCTTTGATTGCTTCTTGTCTGTGCCCTGACCAGGGATCCAGCCTGCAACCTTGCTGTATCAGGAGGAGGCTCTAACCCACTGCACTGCAGGCCTTTCAACAAAACCCCTCTGGCGTGTGCTGGCCCTTGCTGTGGGCCGGAGCTTCTCTGCCACAGCAAAAGTTTGGGTTCCATTCGGTCAGGGCACCTACATAGGTTTCAGGTTTGATCCCTGTTTCCGGCTGACTGCTGCTCAGGAAGTGACTAAGGACCGTTGAGGTCTGTATGCTCTAGTCATTCAGCCCAGAGCTGGGGTTCCATTGCTGACATGGCTGACTCCCATCCCCACTACCCCCGGTCCTCCATGAGGACAACTTCAGCTATGGTAGCTGTGTGGCCTCTGCCAGTGTATACATCCACATAGGTAGGTCGCCCTCTACCTGGCTCACCAGGCCTGACTGCTGCACAGTCGCCCTAGGAGGTGGATTTCCAGGTTCTCAGGAAGAGCGCCTTCCAAGCTGGACTCCCAGGGAGAGTGGGGTCCTGGAGGGAAAGCACTTTGCTCTGCTTCCCTTCAGGGCTCCCGGGCTGGAGCAGAGCGCCTGTCCTGCTCAGGGCTCAGAGGCTAGGGAGTCCTCCTAGCTGGGTGTGAGAAATGAAACTGTGGAGCCCTTCCTCCTGGAACCCTGTTGTCTACGGGCATGTAAATACATTTTATTTGATATGCCTCACGTACCTGGCCTCCTGTGGTACACAGCCACGCCCACCCACTCCTGCCAGATGTTACCCATGAGGGCATCCCAGCAAATTAGCATATACCTCTCTTATTATAAAGCAGTGGTCAGCAAACTCATTAGTCAAAAAAGCCAAGTATCAACAGTACAACGATTGAAATTTCTTTTAAGAGCCAAATTTTTTTTAAACTTAAACTATATAGGTAAGTACATTGTTATTAACCTAATTAGAGTACTCCTAAGTTGGCCTTTGTTAAAAATTCAAGGGGCCAAAGAGCCACATATGGCTCGCAAGCCGCAGTTTGCCGACTACTGTTATATAGGATGGATTTATTTTCCTTAACTGATGATGGTACAGTGGTGCCTCGCATAAAGAACGCCGCCTCGCACAGCGAATGCTGCACACAACGAACTTCATTTCATGATTCATACAACGAACTTCGTTTCACACAACGAAGTCGCCCAAGCTTCCACGACCACTTTGCCCGAGCTTCCACGACTGCTTCGCCCGAGCTTCCTTCCACGATCGCTGCCGATGTATTGCATCCTTCCGCGCAGTCACTGCAGGCAGTCGTTAGTCACTGCGCTTAACTTAAGCACGTATCGCGGCAATCGTTCTTCATTACGAATTAAATCACGCACGTATCACGGCAGTCGTCCTTTTAAGTTAAACTCAATATTTTTTTTATATAATTTTTTTTAAAAAAAATTGTTTTTAGATGTATCTAAATAAAAATAATAACAAAAAATTTATCTTTTTTTATGTCATCTTAGCATATTTTATGCTACAGAACGAATTATTTTTTTTAACATGTATTGTTATGGGAAAACACGTTTCACATAACGAACTTTTCGCATAACAAACTTGCTCCTGGAACAAATTAAGTTCGTTGTGTGAGGCACCACTGTATATTGAATTTTTCATAAATTCCAATAAAGATAATTAGTGATATTAAGATCATTTTTTTCTCTTCTCATAGCACATTCTTATATCCTGTCTGTTGCATGTGACTTGAATTTATTGGAAAATTTAGCGTTTTTCTTATTTTACCAAAAAGACTTTTAGCAAAAATAACACTAAATAATTGGATATTGCTGCTTTACAGACTGAAAGCAGAGAATGGCTTAGGTTTTTATTTGTCACTTCAAAATAAGTAGTATTTTTTGCAAACTTTGTGATTTAGTGTTGACAACTAGGCCAGTAACTATACCCATTTCATTGAGTACTATATGTAGAGCTGCCATCATCCCATATAATAAAAGGGTAGTATGCAAATTGACCACGCAGGATGACCGGTCACTATGACATTCATTAACCATCAAGGGGCAGATACTCAATGCAGGCGCTGCCCCCTAGTGGTCAGTGTGTTCCCATAGGGCAGGCATCTTCAAACTATGGCCCGCGGGCCACATGCGGCCCGCAGAGGAGTCTGATCCGGCCCGTCAGGTTTTTTGGGCAGTGAGCGCAGCCGAGGTGTTACAGTAGGAATTAGTAGTTCATTTAGTCCGGCCCTCCAGCTCTCTGAGAGACCATGATCTGGCCCCCACTTTAAAAAGTTTGAGGACCCCTGCGGGGGAGCGCCACTTAGCCATAAGCCGGGCTGGCAAGCGCAGAGGCCCGTCTCAGTGACAGTGCTAAAGATGTCTGACTGCAGCTTAGGCCCTCTCCCCGAGGGTAGCGGGTCTAAGCTGTAGTGAGACATTCCCTTAGGGCTCTCAGACTGTGAAAAGGATGCAGGCCGGACTGAGGGACTTCCCTCTCCCCTTGAGTGCACGAATGTCTTGCACCAGGCCTCTAATGTAATTACAGTTGTGTTCATTTTCATGAATCTGGTCATACCAAGATTATTTTGTCAGAATTATCTATTAAATAAAAACTATGCTTGTGTCAGATTTGTTAGAAATAATTAAATAAAAAGTATATGTGACTAATGTTTATATATCCCAATAGATGCTAGCCTATTAGATATTTGGTAAATCTTTTAAATTGTAAAAACAGCATGTTTAAATAATGATAGTGGGAAAGTTTCTATTCCATTTTCTTGAAGGCACGGACACTTGCTGGTATGTTGAGAGAAGTTGAAAGAAAAAATGAAGAGCTTGGTGCATTGCTGAAGTCACAGCAGGCTGAATCAGAAAGAGCCCAGAGCGACATAGAGCATCTCTTTCAACATAATAGGAAGTTACAGTCTGTGGCTGAAGAACATGAAATACTGACAAAATCCTACATGGAACTTGTTCAGAGGTGAATTTATAAATGTTTCTGTTTAAGATTAGAATCCGTAATGAACACATAGCACTTCTTTCCTGTGGTCCTAAAATCTGTTTGTAAAAATTTATATCGTATACACTGTAATAAAAGCCTAATATGCTAAATGTTCAGTCACGTGGTAACTGATTGACTGTTCAAACAATCAAAGCTTAATATGCTAATGATAGGCTAAGGCCACTTGTTATGACGTGCATTGACCATTGGGGGAAGTTGACCACTAGGGAACAGACAGTTAACCGGTCACTATGATGTGCACTGACCACCAGAGGGCAGATGCTCCAACTGGTAGGTTAGCTTGCTGCTGAGGTCCGGCCGATTAGGACTGAGTGAGGTGGACCAGACATACCTTGGAGCCCTCCTGCGGTTTCTCCCTGGCCCCGATTGTGCACCGGTGTGGTCCCTCAGCCTGGCCTGTGCCCTCTTGCAATCTGGGACCCCTTGGGGGATGTCAGAGAGCCAGTTTCAGCCCAATTCCATAGGCCACTTCCCTTGGGAGGGCACCATACACAGGCCTCACTGCTGTAGAGTGCTGCTATGGTAGCTCGAATTTCTCCCGATTGGGACTAATTGGTTGTGAGCCCACGGCAGGCCCAGTGGGACCGGGGTGAGCAGGAGCAGCAGGTAGGAGCTGCAGGCAGCGTTGGGCTGCTGGTTTCAGCCTGATCCTCACAGGCCATCCCGAGGGACCCCACCTGTGCACGAATTCATGCATGGGGCCTCTATTATTCTAATAATACTGTAAGGTAAGTAATTAGCAAGAAACTTAGTGAAATGAAATATTGCTTAATCATACTCAGTATTAAAGTTGGAAACAGAATACAGGTCTCTTTATTTCTTTCCAATTGACTACTTCTTTTCATTTGTTCATCAGTCATCTGGGATGTTAGCACTGCAAGGACAAGTTTTATCTATTTTATTCACTGAGAGATCCCCAGGGCTTGGAACAATGCTTGGTACATAGTTAGACACTCCATAAATAATTGTTGAATGACCAAAGTTGTCACAATTTATATTAGTTTTAACCATATAACTTGGTCACTTGTACAGTGCAAAAGTGGTTGAATATTAACACTTTCATGTCATTCAGCCTAATAGAATGGAAATCTGGGTGTTCATATTGAACTGAACTATAAATTCTTATTCAATTTTTATCCTTGATGCCATTTAATACAGTTTACTTATATGTTACTATATACACTAATAAAATAATAAGATGCAAATAAACCATACCATCTTGATACCCACCAGCCAATCAGGAGTGAATATGCAAATTAACCCAAGGAAGATGTTGAGTTAATTTGCATACACAGGTGTTGAGTGGCCGGGGGCAGGGCAGGATGTAGACATTCCACACTGCCCCAGCTGCTGCAGGCCTCTGGGCAGTGTGGGAAGGCTGAAGGGCGGCTCCAGGCCAGAGCGAAAAGGAAGCTCTGGCTGGATCAAAGGTGGTGCTGGCAGCCAGGGTAAGGAAGGCCCATTCTTGCACGAATCTTCATGCATCGGACCTCTAGTATCTGTATAATACATTCTTAAAGGTGAATTGCTGGGTTTAAAGAGTATGTGTTTTTAAAATTTTGATATATTACCAAGTGTCCCTCCAAGAATGCTATACCAATTTATACACCCACCAACAAACTATAAGATTAATTGCTTTTCCCTCCCTTATAAAGCTTTTTTGTCTATTAGGCCAGTCTTAAATCTTTTGAATTATAAGGAAGACCAAAAACTAAATAATAAAAATAAAAACACTGTGATTAACTTGTTCTTTGTTTTGCTATATATTTCAAGATTGGTTGAAATTTGAAAATTTTCTAGTGTTCTATGCTGTTAATCTATAATAAAAGTATAATATGCTAATTAGAACAGACATCCTTCTGGATGACCTGGACGAAGCCGGGGCTGTGAGGAAAGCCCGGGTCCCCGGTGCCTGCCAGCAGCAGGAGGAAAGCCCGGGTACCTGCCAGCAGCCTAGGGAAGGAAGGGCTACTTTTGCATGAATTTCGTGCATTGGGCCTCTAGTAAAGAGATAAAGAAAATGATTAACTTTCCAAGGTCCAACAATAAAAATGAAGGGTAGAAATGTATCACATCTGGAAAATGTGTAATGACAAGGTGACTTCTAAACAAAATATTTCCCCCAATAACAGCTTTTTCCAAAGTCTGATTTAGGCACTGACAAAGTTTCTGGCTCTCTATCTCTCTCCCTTTCTCTCTGTAAAAAAATCAATAAAATATATTTTTTAAAAAGAGAGAGAGAAAGTAAGCAAGTGATCCATGATTAATAGTGATTTCTAGGACTTTCGATGTTCCAAATAGTTATTGAGGGGCCTGGTAGGTAACTATAAAGATAGCTGTATGTATCTTATAAATAAATCTGGCTTAGGAAAACTCATATATAATATTAGGGAATTAAAATTTAGATTTTTATAAACTATAGGAGAGATAAAACACTTCTGCTGGTCAAATTTGGTTAGTGTGTCAGTCAGTTATATTAGTACTTAATAAAGTGAAAAAGACATTTTGTGTTTAAGTTAGCCTGAAAGAAAAGACCAGTATTTACTTGAGATCACTGATTCAGACAGAAACCCAAATAGTATTCAAATTAGGGCGTGAAGGAAAGGGGTCTTTACAGGAAAGAGAAGGAAAATAATTACATAAATAGAAGGAAGGAATTTCTATAGGTGCAAATAAGCTAAGTTATTTTCTTTTTTAAAAAAAATATTTTATTGATTTTTTTATAGAGAGGAAGGGAGAGATATGGAGAGCTAGAAACATCGGCGAAAGAGAAACATTGACCAGCTGTCTCTTGCACACTCCCTACCGGGGATGTGCCCACAACCAATGTACATGCCCTTGACAGGAATCGAACCTTGGACCTTTCAGTCAGCAGACTGACGCTTTATCCACTGCGCCAAACCGGTTTCGGCCCAAGTTATTATTTAGCTATACATGGTGGTGCTAATTCTAAAGAATATCTTTAATTTAAAGTTTGGTAGTCAGAATGTCTGCTTTCCTGTTAGCTTCACAAACAGTTATTTGAAATACAGTGTTTGTTTGGCCCAATCTTAACATTATTTTTCTCAATTCAAACCTTTCAAAGTGTTGAGGATCAAGACATGCAAGGCAGTTCCTCTGGAATGGCTGCCCTAGCTCTATTTTGAAATGGCTCCACTTATGTCAGCTTTTCACACTTAAGATAGTTAAGGTGTCAGATTATCACTTCTTTCTGTGTTTACCTTACAGATAAAATAAACAAGACTATTAGATGCAGAGCTTTAAAGAGACAAGAGAAATTTAGAATCTTCAACTATCAATACTTTGTTTATTAATTTGACATTTTTAATTAAATATGTAATATGCCCAACAGGCTAACAGTGATAGACTTTTACAGAAATTGTTTCACTTTTTGGACATAACTATAAAGATAGCTGTAATGTATCTTATAGGAAATTATGTAATGCAGTAACATCTATAAAATAAAGCTCTATATTTATAAATATGAGGTTAATGTCCCACACATTTCCATTTCACAGTAATTTTTACCACCTCAGTCAGCCAAAGCACACACATCTTTACTCTCTTTTACTAGAGTTAATCCAACTCTGTTTATTTCCTGCTTATTTATAAACTACTTCTTCTAACCTATAGTGTATGGAATTTGATTAGAAGAAAAAATAAACACTGAGTTTCTTTTCTTCATTATATGTTTTCTTCCATAAAAATATCACTCATCTTGTTTTCCTTTTAGGAATGAAATTACTGAAAAGAAAAATAAAGAGTTGCAGATCACATGTGATTCTCTGAAGAAACAAATTGAGACAGTGAAAAAGTTGAATGAGTCACTCAAGCAACAAAATGAAAAGTAAAATCTTTAGTTCTAATTATTTTGTAATTTTCAAAAACATTGTTTTTTGCAGACAAATTAATAGAATTTTAACTTACATTATAAAACGTATGACAGAATTTAAGGGAAATTGCTATTCTTGGGAATTTTCTCTTAAAATACTTGAGAAAAAGAAATGATAATGATTCATTGATGATTTCTATTTTTTTTTTATAACTTCAGAACTGTTGCCCAATTAATAGAAATAGAAGAACAAAGAAAAGAAGTACAGAACCAACTAGTAGACAGAGAATGTAAACTAGCAAGTAAGTAGCTTTTTATGTAACAAATTGCATATATGTTAACATTTTTTGTTGGAAGATAATCAAAACATGAGAGGTTTTTATTTTGGTTTTTCATTAGTTTCTACATCCCTCATTTTTCAAAATCTTAAATCACATCCTAAACAGCTCTCCTTTTATTTCCATAATATTTCTTGCAATTTAATTAAATTGATTTTTAAAACTGGAAATTATAGGACATAACAGCAGGTGGCAGTGTGTGGTAACTTTTAGTTACTACTTTCTTAATGATATCTCTGAAGTGATCCAGAAAAAAACGGTTTTATATTAACTCACTTGTCTTAGAGCACAAACATCATCTACCTATATAATTTTTCATAGTTTTCTCTCTCCTTTTCTCTTCTAACCCTTAAGCTCTGAGGATTGTCCTTCCCCTCATTACTATATTTAGAACAGAGTAAGAAGGAAAGACATGGAGATTTGGTATTTTTCTGTGTAATGCTGGTACAGAGGAAGAATTACTTGGTATTTTCTGTTCGTCAAATACTGTAAAACTTTTATTTCCAGCAAGGTATTTCTTTGTCTTTCTAGTGCCTTTTTTGTTGTTATTGTTCTTATGACATAATAGCTATGAAAGCTTATCAAGTAAGTCAGTATAAATGACTGTTTACTTGTTTTAAGACTTTCAACAAAAAACAAAAATACAAGAAGAAAAAATTAAAGTCTTACAAAAAGAAAGAGAAGATAAGGAAGAGACCATTGATATCCTTAGAAAAGAAGTAAGCAGATCGGAACATATAAGAAAAGAATTGAGCATTAAGGTAAGAAACTGTTTTCATTTGCAGTAAATTGAAAAAGTCTTAATTTGTGAAAAAAGGTGAATTTAGATAAATTAATACTCTGTTTCTTGAGTATAGTTTTGTTTTGAGGATAGTAGGATCTCAAAGTGGCTTGACAATTGTTTATTATGAGAACTCTCTCACAATGTGAAAACGTGTATTTTCTAAAATAATCACACATTTACTAAATATCTACTGTTTGCCAGCACTTACTGCTGTTAAACGGGCAAGGAATGCAGAAAAGGGTTCCCAGTTTTCTACATCACATACAGGTAGCTGTGTATAGGAACATAGCCGCCTCTTTCTGCTTATAGAGATGGTAATAATAATAATAGTAGTTCACATTTATTTAGAACATTATAATTTGCAAAGGACTCTTTGAAACATTGTCTTAATCCTCCTCACTTTCACAAACATATTAAGTTAATAATTATTTTCAACCTACGAATAAAACTGATTCTTGGGTTAAGTTATAGACTCAAGGACAGTCACATATTTAATAGTAGACATATATTTTGAATTTAAGTCTATTGCTGTTTCTCCATTATTGTTACTTAGTGTGGTAGCTATGAACAGTGCTTTCTGGCCCATCTATGACTAGGAAGATGAGAACAAATCAGTACTAAAAGACTGAACAACCAAGAGCATAAGTGACATAAGAAACATAAGATCCCATGATACATTTACAGATTTCCTGGTTCTGCTTTAATGTGGTTATTTTAATAGTAATTCTAAATAGTAATATGTACTATTTTCTGCAAAATTTCAGTTGCTAGCATTGACTTTAAAAGACAAATTGAATGTATCTTCCCAATTCATTTTTTATTGTTTAATAACTACTTACCTTAAAATAACCATATAATTTAGTTGACTAAAATATATATATATTTATAATGTGTCATTTGAAATGGTTGTTTTACAAATGAAAAATAAGAACATCTTAAAATATTTGTGAAGAGAAAAATACAAAATTGTTTTTCTTTCTTTTCTCCCTACCCCCAATTTCTTAGGCTTCCTCACTAGAGGTTCAAAAGTCCCAATTAGAAAGTCGTTTGGAAGAGAAAGAATCGCAAGTAAAACTTCAGCAAGAGGAGTTGAACAAACACTCTAATATGATAGCAATGATCCACAGTTTAAGTGGTGGAAAAATAAACCCAGAAACTGTAAATCTCAGTTTATAGACATTATATATTTATCTCCTGGTGAACATGGGGCGGAAGAGATAATTTCTGACTCCACAAAAAAGCACATTATTAGCTAATTATTAATTTAAGTAAAGAAACTGAACTGATACATGATTTATTTGGTCTTAAAGTTTTACTTCCTGTTTTTTACTTCTTTTTGCATAGAGTTTTCTTTGATTCTTAAATTAGAATATTATTCTTAACCTCCTTTGTCTTTCCTAAGGCTTTTCTTTTGTAGCTTCCCACTCTCTTCTGCTTGTTTAATTTAGTCTTATTCGTGATTATATAGATTTTAAAAATCAAACTTGCTTGTTATAACAATCCTAAAGATTAATAAATTGAAAATGTGATTAGTAAAAAGAGAAAAGGCATGATATAGCCAGAGAACTCTTTCTCTAAAGTAATACAAGAGAAAATATCAGTGAATTTAATATAATTTTATTACTACATTTAAAGTGCACAGATAGCCTTAGCTGGTTTGGTTCAGTGGATAGAGCATCAGCCTACAGATTCGATTTCAATCAAGGGTACATACTCAGATTGTGGGTTTGATCCCCAGTAGGGGACATGCAGGAGGAGGTGATCAGTGATTCTCTCTCATCATTAATGTTTCTCTCTCTCTCTCTCCCTTACTACCTGAAACCAATAAAACATATTTTTAAAAAATAAAGTGCACTAAGATATATGGTATAAGTTCTAAATTTGAAAAAAAAATTAAATGAATATAAAAGAAATAATGTATAAAAATTAGAAAATGGCTGATGTATAAAAATAACTGTCATTTGTCACATATAAAACTAATACCTTGTAGAATTATTTATGAAATAGTTTTAGTTTTATTCTTTAAAATGTATGTTGGCCCACCCATCTCATTTCAATCAATTATGAATTTCTTAAGATTTATGCTGTATAACTTGGATTCTATTCTTGCTACATATTCAGAATTTATTTGTTGTTAGTTTTGATGTGAATTTGAAAGCGTAAGTTAAATATTTTTCATGTTTTTCTTTAATACAAGGGAATTTTTCAGTACTCTTCATTTGAATCAAATGTTATAAGTAATGTTTAAGAAGAGACTTTATATCAATATTTTGGTTGAATTTATTGCTACACTTATAACTATTAATTTTACTTGTTTTTTTTTCACTATGTGTATTTCACTATTTGTCTATTTACGTGAACTTAATTTACTTTTCTATTTTTCAGCTACAGTATATCTGAATTTATGTTTAGAAATTAAACAAATTTTTGTAATTTGTTAATTATATTAAACTAGTACATGTTGAAAAGAAATTAATTAGAAGAAATATTTTAATAACGCTATTCGCATCTTGCTAATGAAAAGAAAATAGGATTTTACCGTGTTTCCTCTCTACCTACTCCAGGACTTCTGTGAAGATCAAATGAGATGAGGCACAAGAAAACACTTCACAACATTTGGTTAAAGTGTAAAATGTTTGCACCTGGCTATAAAGCAAGTTGTGTTCCTGAGCTGAAGAAACTCCAAGGATGCTGGTTGCTAGGGAGAGAAAGCCGGGCCTTGCTACGTGATGTCATTACCCAGAGCCCACAGCCACTGTTTCTGGGCTCAGCTGAGCCATGGGCTGCATTTTGCACCATGGGGTCTTGGCAGCATTGGCTGTAATTTGGTGGGGTGTTGCTCCACAGTGGTGGCAGTGCCTGTGTCCCACTTAGGCGAAGTTGAGTGTTGCTTGTCCGCGCCAGGTCCGCAGTGCCATTTATTTGTAAGTGGCTAGTGTGCATCACAGCAGCTCCTTAATCGAGCGTCTGCCCCCTGGTGGTTAGTGTGCATCATAGCTACTGGTCAGACAGACACTTAGCCTTTTATATCTATCCATCTATCTAGCTATGGCTAATATGCTAAGTGTCCATCAAACTGGTAGCTATGGGTGCCAGATAATGACATGACATAGCAATACCCAGCTTCCTCTCCCTGCATCCTTGGAGTTTCTTCAGCTCAGGAACAAAACTTGCTTTATAGCCAGGTGCAAACATTTTATACTTTAACCAAATGTCTGTGAAGCATTTTCCCATGCCGCTATCTCATTTGATCCTCACAGAAATCCTGGAGTAGGTAGATAGGAGATTCTATGAAATCCTATTTTCTTTTCATTTGCTGGAAAACAGAGATTTAGAAAGCTTAGAAATTGGACTCAACTGAAAAGAAGTAAGAAATGATGGACCTTAAAAATGACTTCATGTTTTCTCACTGTGCAGAATATATTCAAAAACTGCTGCAGTTAAATATTTTATCCTCTGTTCTCCCTGTGTGATCTACAATAATAATCTACTTGTGTTGATATTTACTGCTGTGTTGCTGACAATTACCTGAAAGAGAAATTGGAGTGCTTCACTGGGCTGGAAAAAGTTGAGCTAAATCAGAAAGCAGGACTAATTAAGCAAGTTTATTCTATTGGGTCGCAATTACTTAGTTGCCGACCCAATATATCTATAAAAGGCTAAGTTGACTTTTGCATGTGCAATACATATAAAGCTCTTGCTGGTGCTAGTCTCACACATGTGTTTCGAACTGTCATTGACGATTGTGACTTTAGTTGACACTTCTATTATAAAGAATGGGTGAATAGTGATATTTATTTCTTCTAATTAATTCCTTTCAGTGTGCACGAATCCATGCACCAAGCCACTAGTATATAGATACTATCAAACTATAATAGTTTTTTAATATCATTGTATGCATTTGTTCAGTTATGCAAATTTTTTAAAAAGAGCATTGTGCAAAATAGCAATTTTAAATTGCTACTTGTTTAGGAGTACATTCTATTTATTTGTGCAGCTGCATGTATTTTTAATTTAATATGAAAAATGCTTAAATGGATACATATGACTAAAGAACAAAAGACTCCATAAAATAAAAAACAAAAAGTTTTATAAAATAAATAAACAAAGCAAGAGCTTTAAGGAAAACCAAACTAACTTTATAATTTAGACACTGAGCCTCACCCAGTGCTGCCCAGCAGAACTCTTTGTGATGATTGGAATATTCTACATCTACACTACTTAGTATCATAGCCTGTAGCCACATGTGACTATTGAGCACTTAAAATGTTGCTAATGTCACCTAAGAATTGGATTTTTAATATTAATTTTTATTTTAATCGCCATCCTACTACGCTGTTTTCCTGAAAATAAGACAGTGTCTTATATTAATTTTTGCTTCCAAAGATGCCCTAGGTCTTATTTTCAGGGGATGTCTTATTTTTCCATGAAAAAGAATACAGTACACATTTATTGTTAAATGAAAATAAAGGAAATTTATTATCTGTACGGTACGGTAGTACCATAGTTGTCAACACAAACCAGACAAACTGTGAATCCTACAGTATCAAGAATTTACTCATTTATTCAATGACAATCATGTCATCATCTTCTGGAACATCATCATAACAATCCAATTCCTGAATTTCCTGGTGAATTTCTTGTGACTCCATTTCTTTCAGAATAAGTGGACCAAATCTCTCTTGTTTAGCCTGGGGAGGCCTTATTTTCGGGGAATGCCTTATATTTCACTCAGAAGGAAACCTGTAAGTAGGTCTTATTTTCGGAGGATGTCTTGTTTTCGGGGAAACACAGTAGATAGTGCAGATCTAGTTCATCCATGCAAGTATGCATTTATTTAAACCACTCAAATTGCCTGTTCTTGAAGGCCTATATAGACAGAGGCTCCATATATTTTTTAGCAGCCTTTTATTAATACAACAGTTTTAACCTGTTATTCCTGATCTCATCTGTTGGAAGAGGAAAAGTGTACTTCAGCTTTAAAGGTGAGTACTTATCATCATCCTTGTTCACTTTTTCTGTTTTTCCTAGTCTTACTGTCTCTTATTGCACCTTTAACATTGTTCCTCTTGTTTTTCTTAATTTTAGTAAGTTGGCTACTTTTTTGGTTTTTGCTTTTTGGTTCTGTATGCCTCAGATTTAAAACACAAAACAAACACCCAAAGTGTACACATGTATTTTTTTCTTCAATTTTTTATTTTTTTATTTTAAGCAAGTTTGAGCCACAGAGTTTGGCAAATGTGTGTGTGTGTCCATGTCCTAATGGAGAAAACAAAACTAAGTAAATGCACCATTATTAGAATTGTCCAAAGCTCTGAATTTTTGTTGTGAAGGATTTTTATTCAAGTGTATATTAACACGGTTCCTTTTATGATTTATATTTGCTGCTTGAACAAATTTAAAATACAGATTTGTCAGTTTGTAACAATTCCTTTTTAGGAATCTGCAAACATTATCTGTGTAGAGCCAGGTAGTAAATATTTTAGACTTTGTGAAACATCCACTATCACACCATACAACCCTCAGCACTGCCTCTTGTAGCATGAAAACAGTCATAGACACTACCTACATAAATGAGCATGGCTGCCTTGGCTTGTGTGGCTCAATTGATTGAGTGTTGTCTTGTGCACCAAAAGGTCAGAGGTTCAATTCTCAGGGCACATGCCCAGGTTGCAGGCTTGATCCAAGGCAGCCTATCAATGTTTCTCCTCTCTCTCCTCCCTTCCTGTATCTAAAACCAATAAAAATATATTTTAAAATAAATAAATGGATATGGCTGTCCAGTATCATAGCCTTCTAAAAAAATTTTTTTTTTTTTTTTTTTTTTGCAAAAACAGTTGGAGCTTTGCTTTTGGATGTTGTTATATCTTACTGATTGACTCTTTTATCATTAATGAGTTTGCCTATTTACCTTTGGTATCTTTGGCTTGAGGTCTGTTTTATTTGATATTAATATAGCCACTCTGGCCTTTTAACATTTTCTGTTGGCCTGGTATATCTTTTTCTATCAATTTATTTTTAACCTGTCTTTTTTTTTTTTTTTTTTTTTTTTTTGAGCGTGAGAAATATCAGTGATGTGAGAGAATCATTGTTCAGTTGCCTCCTGCATGCCCCCTATTGGGGATCGAACTGCAACCCATGTGGTCTTGACTGGAATCGAACCCGGACCCTTCAGTCCGCAGGCTGACACTATCCACTGAGTGTCTTTATATATAAATTCCATGAATTTGTAGACAAGTTAGGTTTTGTTTTATATCTGTTTTGACAACTATCATTAACTTTCATAGTCCACTTGGGGTTAATATTGTACTACTTAATATAAAATGTAGTTACCTTGCAATTATGTCAGTCCATTTATCTTCTCCATCTTTTATCCTAATTGGAAAATTGTTCACTTAGGTAATAAATTCTGTATATAATACTAACCCCCAAACCAGTGTTATAATTTTTGCTTTAAACAAATATATGGAAATACATTGGTTTGCAACATCATAATGTAGTTACCTGTTTATCTGCAATAATACACACAAAATAGTATCTTCAGTGTAACATTACTATTTTTCCCTTTGGAAATAATAAGTAACTTGTGGGGAGATATTTCAAATAACTTGTTTTAACTTTCACCCACTTGTTTTAGCATCCATTGATAATTCTTGCTTGAATCAATTATTACTCTAAAGTTGCCAAACGATTATTTTGTTTTACT